CTGACCTGTAGAGGAGCGGGGTAAACGCGCAGATCTGCTAAAACCATTTCCTCTTTTTCGTAATCAGTTAACGGATCTTATGGGCAAAGATGTTTACGTAACCATGCCTTACACGGCTCCTGCCAGCAGCTTCCTGGATCAGACCTGTTTCATGGCTCAGGCCCTCGGCATGGATTAAGGAAAGCGTTGATCAGAGGAACGCTCGCAGTGAAGCAGGTAGGAGGTAGGCTCTGCAGCTGGCTACAGGAGTGGAAGTCACTCAGCCTGGTGCCTGCCCTAATTGCTGGGAATGTCCCCGATACTGAAATGCTGCTGAGGTTCCTGTCATCCTCACAGAGCCTTTGGGGCAGACAAAGCAGTTAGCACAAAGGACAAGTCTTTGTAGCCACACAGCCACAAACAGCAGATCTCTGGTGGGCAAAGCCCCTTAGAGCTTAACAATATTCTGCAGTACCTCCACAGCACCGCACAGCTCGACTTTCTCATGTTTTCACTGCCACAGGGGAGCGAATAACCGCCATTCTCAGTGCTGTTCGCTGCTCCAGGCAGATTCTTGTGTCTTTTCCTGGCCTCCCTTCACACAGAAGCAGGGCTTTGCTCCTGGGGAATCATCACAGACCCCTGGGAGTGCCCCAGGCCACCTCCTTCCCCTTTGCTTCCCATCATCTTTGCTACGTTGCCAGCAGATTGCTAGGAGAGCACGACTTCACACTCCCATCAGAAAGACAAGGACGCTGTAGAAGAGCAGTCTGCCTTTCCCATGGCTTTTTACTTTGCCCCATCATACCGCTAACTGAGGCAGAACTCCTGCTGAAGTCAGTATGATTACAAGCCCAAAAGCTGTGTTTCCCAAGCAAGCTGGAATTACAAACGCCTTCTGCACATCTGGGCAGCCCTCTGTGTGGTAATTAACACCTGGCAAATGCTAGAACATCTCTTTGGTCTGTGTTTGAACAAGTTCAGTAGAAAGTGCTGGACACGTCTGCATCCCCATGCTATGATCTGGCACACGACTGCACCGATACCTGCGCGGTGGCTCTGGCACCACTGCACAGTAGCTAGGGAGGCAGATGGCAAACGGCACTAATCCACCTCCTGCTGCCCTCAGCTTGTCAATCCACCTCCATCCAAAGCAGCACTCCAAAGAGAACGAAGAACGATCAGGGTTCAGAAGTGCTTTTGGTTTTCTCTAAAGATGGTGCATTTCTGCAAGAGAGAAACTGGCAGTAACCACTGCCCTGGCAGGAATTCACTTCACATCCACAGTCTCAGGAGCTGCTCAGTTTGGAAATGGATGCTTTAAGCCAGCGGGAAGCTGATGCTTCCTTCTTTCCCTATCCATAGGGTATTTCTTGGTTAAATCAGGTTGTGAAAGATCAAAACTGACAAATGACAGCAGCGTTTGAATTTAGGGAAGACAAGCTTCATCACATCAGTTTTAACACTCTTGCTCATTAAGGCCCCCAGCGTTAACTCGAGCTGTTAAGGTAGGTAAATTTCACAGGTCAAATTAGTGAGGAAAGAAACACAATCTGAAAAACTCCCAACAACACAGTTAATACTAGGATGGGGCAGGACTCAGGGGCAAACATTCATCTCACTGCAGTGAAGGCTGGTCTGTGGGGAGATGGGGCCTGCATCACTCAAGGCTTCCCTGCGCACCTGAAGAGAGCCCCACGGCCCCAGTTCAGGGGGATATGCTGACTTCCTGCACCACCGGCCTGTCTCCAAGGGCTGCCTGTTAATTCTTCATGGTATAGATGGTGTATATTCACATACCAGTATGGCTGAGGGAGCCTAGCGCAGCAGGGCAATCGGCCAGGAGTGAGACACATCTCCTGCTCACCGTGATGATGATGCTTTGGTGCTTCTTTCATAAACTGCCCAGGGGAGGACAGGACTGGAGCAGGTTTGCAGCAGGTGGCCCCATTTCCCTGCCCTTCCAGTTAGGACTGTGGTATGGTCATGAAAAGGTACAGAAAAGAAAAGGTTGTGACCACACACACCAGGTTCTGCCTTACCCAGCACCTGCCTTCAGCAGGCCTCCAACTCTGCAGGGACAAACAAGAGATGCCCACTAGGAGCTGACACAACTGGGCTCCATACAGCAAAGACCAGGATGAACTAGGAGTTCAGCTCTGACATTATGCTGGCTCTTTCAGAGGTACAAAAGGGGTGCATGTGTCAATAAACGCTACTAATGGGCTGAAAGAAACTTTCTTAACGACTAGTAACAGCATCCAGGACTTCTCCCATTCTGCTCAGGCTTCTATGAACACCAGCAAGATAATCCACATCTCACAGGAAGGAATCCCATCCCACTGAAGCCTATGGGAGATCTGTTGTTTTCAGGAGATGTCAGATGTCACCTCGAAAGTTTTTAAGAGTTCTTTAAAACTTCCACCTGTCTTCTAAAGCCCAGACTCAGAGGGATGCTTCCAAAAGCCTGACATCTCAGAAGAAAAAGGCACAGGACAGCCAAGCTTCTCCTGCTGAATGAAGGAAGCAGTTCGACTTTATTGGTCTGTTTCTGCTAAGCAAGGAACAAAAAAATCCCCTCTTGTCAGGTTCTCAAGTTTTCCAGTACACCCTCAAAGTCCACCTTTGCTCTGTGAGAAGCTGCAAGGAAGTTAAAAAAAAATAAACACAAAAACCACAAGAAGGAATAGAAGCTGTACTGAACCTTCAGGACTGTTCAGGCAACATTTGCAGTGGCTAAACGCAGTAGTACAAAGTGCAAGTTGAAATCAATCTACTTTTAAGCAGCAGCGATCACTACACCTTGTGTCCCTTGTGCTGCCTGCCCAGGTCACTTTTCTTTCCTCATTAACAAGCGGATGTTCCCCCTTTGTGTCACCCTTCATGATAAGTGACACATCTGCATTTACACACGCAGATTGAGCAGCTGATTCTGATCTACAGTTTTCACACTGGCCTCTGAGAAAAATGAAAACTTGTCCCCTGGCACTGACGCAATGGCTCTTCCGACTTTTCCTTACCATATTTCACAACAAAATGAGCTGCAAATCCCCCCACGCAGGAGATGCCCCATTGCCTGCTCCAGCAGGCTGTGGCTGCTGCACATCCATGCCCGTTCAGCACCTTCTGCAGCCACTCTGTGTGAGATTGCTGGTTGGCAGCACAGACCCTGCTGCGGGCTCCGTGTTCTGCCTGAGCACCCAGAAATCGCCTGTGGTACCCAAGGAAGCTCCCACAAGGCTCGTGCCCAGCAGGAAGCGTTTTTAGCAGTATGCCAGGATATGTCAACCATCATTTTACGTATGCCAGCAAAGCCCAAGCCTGCAGGCTAAAGGAAACCACACTGGTGTCTGTCTGCCCACAGATTCAAGAACAGGAGGCACGGTGAGACAATGGGAAGAGCAAGGGGCGGGGGGAGGAGGGAAGGAAAAAAATCCAATTAGCAAGAAGTAGCTGAGAAGGATGATAGAGATGGAAGCTTTTTAACCACCAAAACTGAGACAACAAAGGAGAAGGAAACAACCAAAACCAAGCTCCTCGGAGTGCAGGGGAAAGAGAGAGGGGAATCTATTGCTCCTGTCCAATGCTGGTCCTTCCTGGGGTTCCCCAGCTGAACCCATCCCTCTAGAAGACGTCTGTCTCCAGACAGGTCACAACGTCCTGCCAAATCCTAGGACCAGGTAGAAGCTAAAAGCATCCTAAGCTCTAATCCGCCGCCTTCCTTGCTTAAGAAAATACAGACGCAACCCGGTCAGGCACTGCACAGCAGCCCTGGCGTGGGAGAGGAGAGGAGACACTAAGGCTTGAATTCTGCTGGTATGATCCTGTGTCAACCTTCATGGATGGAGCCCCACGCTGCCTCGCTCCTGGGGACTCCTGAGTGACACTTAAGCCACCACCTTACAAACCATGTGTGAAACCAAAACCCAACTGTGTGTCAAACCCAAAAATGCGAGGTCAAGTCTGACTGACTCACTCTCAGGCTGCATCTCACTGGGGCTGCACACCTTCATCTCGTCCTGGCTCTCCCCACATTGGGAAAGGACTCCTCTGTCCTCCCCTCCACCAGCCACCACGAGGCCAGGGGCACAACACCCACTACTTTGGCCTGTGGGTGCTGTCCTCTGTTCACCTCTGGGTGCTGCAGGGAGGGAGCCGCAGGCTGTGGCCAGCCTGGTCCAACAGATCCCTCCTCACCCTGGTCCTACAAATCCCCCCATCTCAGAGCATCAATCCTCAAGCAGCACAAATTTATTTCCCTTCTACGGAGAGAGATGCAAAACCACCCTGCCTCAGGAGCACATGAATTGCACATCCCTGCCCCTCGCTCCCGCTTTTCTTGCCCTCAGCTGCTGCAGTTTCAGAAGCAGACAGGTTTTGGGGGTGACTGCACGCCCAACTCAACACCTCCTACCAAAGCCACTTCGGTGGGGCGATCCCATCCCTAAAAATGTCCCTAAAAAGTCAGCTTCCCCTACTCAACCTGTCTCAGCAACCTCCTTCCTCTCCCTTCTCACCCAGCCCTGCTCACCTCGCACCAGGCAGAGCACAGCAGAGGAGCTGAGCTCTCTGTCCCTTCCCAAACACCTGCTGATGGCAAAACGGGACGTGCATGCTGCGACAGCTCCCCGGAGCTGCCGACCACCCCGGGACATTTGCACCGGGGTTTTCCAGCCCAGCAGGACGAGGGGAGCCACCAACTTGTGCCAAGCGGCGATGCCACCGGAGCGAGAAGCCGCCGTGGTTTGTGCATCTCTCTTCGGAAAAGGGAGATCAATTTGGGGTGCTGGGGATCGATGCCCTGACATGGAGGGGAACAAAAGCGACACACGCAGCCCGGCGGCGACCAGGCAGGGTGCCAGAGGGGATGCCGTGGCCATCCCAAAGCGCAGGGAGCCGGGGGGGCACAAACCCCAAACCGGGAGGCACAAACCCACCGAAGGGCTCCAGCCCCGGACCCCCGCTCTCTCGCCACCACCCAGGACCTCAGCTCAGCCCGCAGCCCCCCCAGGCGGCCTCACCTCGGAGTACACGAAGAGGGGCAGGACGAGGACGGCCAGCAGCAGGTCGGCGACGGCGAGGCTGACGATGAAGTAGTTGGTGGTGGTCTTGAGCGCCCGCTCGGTGCAGACGCTGAGGCACACCAGCCCGTTGCCTCCGACGATGAGGAGGATGAGGACGATGCCCAGCACCAGGGCGGCGACGTTGTGGCCCCCCGGAGGGGGCGGCGGGGGCTCGCTGCCGTTCCCCGGGGCGCTGCCGTTCCCCATGGCGCCGCGGCGCTGCCCCGGCAGCCGGGCTCATGGAGCCGCCGGCTTCACCGAGCTGCCCGGCCCCGGGGCGATGCCGGGGGAGGCCGGCAGAGCCGGCCCCAAACTTTGCGAGGAGCGGGGAGGAGCCTCCCGGAGGCAGCCCCGGCACCAAGCGGGTCACCGGGCGGCTTAGCGGCAGGGGGCGGGCTGCCGGGTCCCCCCCCTTCTGCCCGTGTCCCCTCCCTGTGCCCGTGTCCCCCTCCCTCTGCCCGTGTCCCCTCCCCGCAGGGCACCCGCAGCCCCTGGGGAGGCTGGAGGGAGGCTGGGGTCGAGGGGAAGCCCCCCCAGCTCTTGCCGTGGTTGGGGTGCCTGGCCGGAGGTCCGCTGGGGGAGGCTCCTTCTCCCCCTGGGTTTTGAGCTGGAGGAAAGGGACAAGTCTTCGGTGGCACCGCTGATTTTTCGTCTTCGATCAGCCGCCCCCCTGCCGGCACAGCGTCGCTCGGTCGGTGCGAGTTCCCCCGGGCTTCCCACCCCAAAGCTCCGGGAGCGGTGCTGGAGCAAGGCAACGCGCCCTTCAGAGCGAAAAACGGCAAGAAAACAGATTTAAAAGACTTTGCAGCGGTATCTTATGGGAGGCAGAGTAGAAAAAAATAAACAAAAACAAAAAAAAAACAAGGTCCGTATGTTGAGCGTAATGTCTTCCTCGGAATGAGGCTGGCCACTTTTATATGTCTCCGAAACAGCGGAGGCAGTGGCCCCACAAGCGCTGCACTGCAAATGTGGCAGATCAAAGCACCCTCGGATCGGTCAGACCTTGATGAAGCTACACTGTAGGGAAAGAAAAAGAAAAAAGGAAAAAAAAAAACAAACAAACAGCAAGTTTCAGAGTAGGAGGTTGTTTCAAGTCAGCCTGACCTGAAGGTATTTTCCCCAGGAGATTCAAAGCAATAGTATGAACGGTAATTAGAGAAATCAATGCTGTTAGCTTGGATCCCCAAGAGCATTTGAAGGACTGTGGAGACTATAACCATCCAGAAAATGGCAAACTGCCTCTTTTTAAATGGAGAGGGATAAGAAACCAGGGACTGAAGAGCAATCTGTGTTGGTTCAAGTAAAAGAGCATGTTCCTTGCTAGAGCTAGGAGGGAAATAATTAGATATCACATATCTCAGCTTTAGCTCTGCTGCAATCTCACATAGCCTTGTCTTAAGCAATGAAAGGGAGAAGAGTAGCTGAAATTATTATGGATTGGGTGAATAACAGATTGGAAAACTGTACTCCAAGGTCTGTGCAGAATCTGGTAATGTTTAGAATTTGCATAATTGACCTGAGTGAGTGTCCAGAGAGCTCACTAATTAAATTTGAAGATACTGCCAAGACAGGTGAGGCTGCGAGTATCTTGGAGCACAGGATGAGAATTCAAAATGTTATGCTGCAAAAAACATCTGGCAAATGCAGGATGCAATTCAAAGGGAATTTTGCATCTGTCCTGTGCTTGGGCAGGAATAATCAGCTGCAGAAATACAGGGCTGAGGCAACAACCAGATGGAAAGTAGGTTTAGGAGCAAAGGTGCTGTAGCAGGTTGCAAGCTGCACACGGGGACTAGGATGTCTTATTGTTGTAAATGACAGAAAAAGAAGCCAAAGCTCTCCTGGAATAATGCTGTTTGAGAGGTACCCGTGCACCTGCAGACTCAGGCAGCCTTCATTCTGCCAGCCACACTCAGAGTCACCTTTCACAACACTTGTCATAATTATGCCAGCTAAAATAACAGATGGAGATTATGATTCCTAGAGGTAGGGGTTAAGGTGACGTTTCTCACTCCCTAGGATGAACACCTCCAGGCTGCAGTGCTGCAAGCAGCAAGGCAGACACCACATGTGTTCATCTCAGATACCAACAATTGTGCCTTTTTTACTGCTTACTGCATCACTGCATTCACCCCTGTGCTGACAGAGACAAGCTCAGTGAAGTCCCGCAGAGCTGGTGCTGGGGGCTGGGGGAGGACGGGGGAGCTGTGACCCCCAGTTCTAGCCCAGATGGTCTGGGAGATGTGGGACCTGATCCAGACTCAGTGGGCACCTTTCCAGCCATGCCACCAAACCTCAGATCAGATGTTTGGGGTGAGCTAACCAGTCAGTTCCGCTTGGTGTTTGTGGAAGGCAGTAGGAAGAGAAGGCTTAGCAGGAAAGTATAATTTACACCATGTGGAGAGTAGGAACTGCATTACTGCCGGCTTTTTATAAGACGAGAAGATTTTTAGAGCTGCTTATAGATATCAGTATGTTACCTGCTCCAGATATCGATTTTATCTGATCCATTAACAGGCTGGCAGAAGAAATCCTCTCTCCAGCGTCTGCCCACACCGATTTCCTTCACTCTTATTTGGAGAAGGACACAATTAATCCTCAGCAAGCGAAGCATAGAAAAGCCAGAGCCCTGTTACCAGGAATGGGGACGTGGACCTCGGTACCATCCTTTCCCTGTGCTTATCAGCAGTTAATCCCGCAGTCTGTTTTACCCAGCTGCCTTGGGTTTCACAATTTCATACATGGGTAGGAGAAAATTACTTTGGTTTAAGTACTTAGCTGGCAATCTGTCTTGCCATATTGTCTCCAGAGGTGTGACTTCCAAGTTCTTTCTGAAGTTCACAAGAATGCCATCGGATTCATAGCTGCTGAGCTGTACCGACTGCATCCTGTCCCCAGAGCACGTGTGCCATCCTCACACTGATCCCAACACCTGTGGGTTTATCTACTCCCCTCCTTCTGCCAGCTGACCCAGCTGTGATGTGGACTCAAATCAGTGAGCAAAGCTCTGCCCTGCAAAGACAAAACAAAGCTCCAGCAGCGGTGGGTACTCACACACCATCCCATCTGCCCGTGGTTCCCCATTCCTTTGGGAACAGTTCGGGGCTCAGGTGGGCGCAAGCAGGGCTGTGAATCTATCAGGTTAAGAAGATACACATCATCCAGTGCAGTGAACTGGGACAAAACTACCCCATCGGTACTTCTTAAACCCACATGTCCTGGCAGAGGGAGTTTGCATCAGCTCAGTGGTTTGTATCTGCTGCAAACAGCTTTTCTGCTCTGCTGGTCAGATCCTAAGATCTGAGTGCTGGCACAAGTACTGCTGTCATAGCCTTCACTCAGTGAGGAGCAGGTACAGTGGGACCATTTTTACTAGAGCCCTTTTGTTCCAAAAAAATCCACCCAAACTAGTCAAAGGAGGCTTTGAAGTACATTAATGAAACTGCACTGAACTCCTGTGTGGAGAAAATGCCCTTAATTTATTTGTGTTTAAACAAGCTGAGCAGCAAAGGGATCGGGATTGAGTTGTGACTGCGGGCCTTCTGCCTTCCCACAGGGATTAATACCGTTTCTCTAATCTCCTTTAACAGTCAATTTATATTAATTATCTTGATTTTCCCTGTGGGTTAGCACAGAATGCCTCTTAACTCTCAGCGTGGAAGCCCTTATTCCAGACTAGCAGTACTTTAATCCCAGACCACTTTAATCCTGGAGTGGATTAAACTAATGTGAAATAAGGCTTTTCACTTCCAAAAAAGAGCAGCCATGCAAAGCACTAATTAGGACAGCTCTCCCATTGCAAACTCCCAGGTTGCAGTGAGCCTTGCTCACTGCCACCAAGTCCCGTGGTTCTCCTGTGTCCACTGCTCTTGCTCAGCCCTCGGTGCTGAGTTCATCAGTCGCACTGTGACATCCTGCTGGCTCAGAGCAGGGACTGGGGAGGTTGTGAAAGTCACCCACAGCCGCTTCTCATGACATCAAAAATATTTTATTTTGTCCTAAGCAGGTGCTGTGAAGGACACGAGGGGTGAACAGCAGCACTTTCTGCCAGCAGGGCATCTCAGCCTCAAATAAGTCTGGTGCCCAAGCCAAGCCATCAAAGAAACATCTGCCTATGTGGGCTCCTTCCCCTGTGCCAGGAATAGATTATCTGTATAAATTCATTTCAAATATGGGATGAGGCTCTGGTACTCAGCATTTCGCAAGACCTTCAGTGCCATGCATCAGCAACCACAGGACGTGGCATGCAAAGACTTTGCTCAACTCACCACCCACAAGCCACCCACTTCAGCCCGGGATCAGCAGCACCAGGAAAGCACCCGTTTCTTGCACAGAATGACAAAATAGCGGAAGATCTGCCTTTTTGATATGTTTTGAGGCATGTTTTAAAAAGAGTCTGGGAATGAGCAGTGCGGTCAGCTTTCAGGAAGGGGGCTGCGGTGGAGCTGGTGCCTGACAGCTAGCCAAGGAGGCAGAAAAAGTCCTCCAGAGACTTCCCAGGATGAATTGATAGAGGATTTGGTTTTTAGCCAATTCAGAGGACCAGAAAGGTTGCAAAGTGAGACATCTGTCAGAGTCTCCCAAAAGACACAGAACTTTTATCACCGTAGTTTTTCACACTCGAGGCACTGAATTTTTAAATAGAAAAGGAGAACAAAATTACCTGCCAACATTTCAGAACAGATGTGCCTAAACTCAGGTATTGAATAGTACCCTGATAGCCCAGCAGCAGATCACTGGGGCTATCTGCAGGATCAGAACAAAGGGAGGAAAATAAAGAGCTTTTACGGACAGTCCTGTTCCTTTTACTTGACATATTTAGCTGAGCAATTCTCTATGAAACTATCATCCACAGCAAAGCCATCCTGCTTTACAATCCGCCTGTAATGCATTTCCAAGAAAAGACACAGAGGCAGCATCCTGCCTTTCGGGTTAACCTTTGCAGGAAAGGGAAGAGGATGGCAGGGGTCTCCTGGTTCTCAGGCTCACTGAGTCCCCCTTCAAGAAGCTGCAGGGATTTACGTACTCACTGAATAGATCTTTTGACATTCACCGTTCTGGCAAGTTATGATAAATCCATGTAAGAGGTAAAATCTCATGCATTTTTAATGGTGATTAGCTTTGGGAATAGAACTACAGAGAAAATGGCTGGATTTGCTGTCTCTTTTAGCTTGTAATCACACCAAGATGTTTTTTTGGATGCCTGG